AACAACAACAAAGTGTGGCACCATGGGATATGCACACAACCTCAAGGTCGGTAAACCTCAAGGTCGGTGGTTCAAACTCACCAGGCGCTCCACAGAAACCCTATACAGGGATGCTATGAGTCGGTACCGACTCGACAGCACTTAACAACAACATGGTGTGCCTGCCCCAAGTTACGGTATTTTCAATCACTTCATATGCATGTGAAAGTCAGACAATGAGTCAAGACCAGTGTTGAAGAATTTATGCATTTGAGTTGTTGCGTTGGAGAAGAATATTGAGAATACTATGAACCAGAGAAAGGAGCGCTGCTAGCATAGTGGTTACAAGTTGGACTGCTAACCTCAAGTTCAGCAGTTCAAAACTACCAACCGATCCATGGTGAAAGATGAGTCTCTGTGCTCCCGTAAAGATTTACAGCCTCAGAAACCCTATACCGGGTCCCTATGAGTCAGAACCAACCCCAGGGCATACTAGCACCACGACCACTACCATGAACTAGAGAATGAATAAATCTGTCTTAAAAGGAGTACTGTCAGAATGCGAGAATGATGAGACTTCATCTCATATCCTTTGACTATGTTATCAGGAAAGGCCAATTCCTGACGAAGAACATCTTGCTTGTAGATGTGAAAAAGAGGGAGACAACCCCCCCCCAATAAGATGGATTGGCACAGAGGCTGCAACAATGAGCTGAAGAAAAACAACACTTGTGAGGATGGTTCAAGACCGGGCAGTGGCTGATCTAGACAGATCTGACTAGACGTCACCTCACGACAACAGTGAAGACCTAAGAAAAAACATAATGGAGAATAGGCAGAATCTTGTATAAAAAAACCCAAAAATCCATACCACTGGGATACAGGGATTGAGGCATGGTTTGAATGGGTAAAAGAGGGAACTAATGTTAAGATGTTTGACTGTCTTATGAATCTTGGTTTCCCTTGCCTACTACTGTAAAATGGACACTTAAGGGGGAGAAAATGGAATAGCCAGAAATATCACCATAGGAAGCTTGTAAATCCGTCTTCAGCCTAAAACTGATTGGAATATGTAAAAGGAGGTTAGAACTTGCCTAGTGAAAGAGGCTTCCTGCAGAGTCTTTGTAGTGTATAAGACTTTAGGTGTAATCCTGAGCTGGGAAATTCCCACTTGAAAGGACACGCAGACCAGCCTGGAGCAGCTAGAGGAACAGAAGATACTTCTTGAAAGAAAGACCAACAGAAAAAATAAAAAACCGTAGTCTGACTGCCTACCACAAGAACAAGCAAGTTGTTCGCTGGGGAGCCATCAAGGCAAGCAATCAAGTCCCTTCAGGGCAAATTCCCTTCCAAGACCGAACCTCAAAGGGAATACATGAGCAGGC